TTTTAGCAGACTTCAGGAAATAACGGGTCTGGTCTTGCTGCTAAACTGAGTTTTCGGTGTCTATGTATGTCACAGGGGGAAGGGTACTCTGTAGGTTTTGGGAAATTATTGCACAAACAAGATTATTTTCTGACATATTATCCTTTCTGACATTGATGACAAAAACACAGCAAAAAGAATTTCAAGAAGCCATCAGGGTAAAAGAAAACTGCAGTTGAGCTGCGAGGAAGAAACTCCCCTTTTCGTAAAGCTATAATTCTATTCGATGATAAAACTCATTTGGAACTTCCCTAATGAAAAATTTCACAAAGGATTCATTTCCATTTTCTTTTCTCGTTATTGTTTGGCAGTCAAGGTTGCAGCCAGATCGCGCTATCCCAAAGACCCATTTGAGTTCAAGGACACAACTCACAGTCCTCGGCTTGTGGCCGAGCCAGGTGAAGGAGTTCGGGAGCCCGTCTCTCTTTTAAATAACCGCACCCTTCAGCGTTCTATCTTAACATGCTGAGCTCGGTTGAAGAAGACAGATGTACTGTTGTCGATTTCAGCATGCATTCATTCAGCTTGTTGGGCAGCAAAATCCCAAAGAGAAAAGACATAGCAGACAAGAAATAACAATTAAAACGAACCGGCCTCCAGTCTAGCAGCTTGCTCAAGACGTTCTTCGGAAGCCCTGTTAGCTAGATGCCTTTGCGCTCAACCAACTTTGCATGCCGCTCACTCTGAGTGATTCCAGTGTGAATATGACATTACTAATGACCTGCTAAGTGTGTGCAGATGTGGGTTTCTCCAGATGTGGCTATTCATAACGTAATGGAGATAGCCGGTCGCCTCATGTTTATGGGTTGTTTGCCTTTTATTGCATTTCCGAGGTTATTTGCTTTGAACTGTCTTTTAACTCTGGCCAACAAATTCACCTTTAAGTGTCAAAGGGCGTCATCCCCCCAAACCCTGTGGAGGAAATGGAGAAGAGGGAGTGTGCCCCCAGGCTGGACCTGAGTGCCGGGCTCATCACATGGCAACGCTGGGCTCTCTGGAAAAGCTGAAAGTTGGAATCCTTGCCCCATTTTACTAGAAAGGCCTACAAAGAGGCATTGGTAACCCAGACACGGTGTTTGCAAGCTGGCGAGACCAATAAAGAAAGGGATATCTTAAAAAAAAAAAAAAATCCAGTAAAATATATGATCATGTTGAACTAAGCCCAGAGCTCTGGCTAGTGTTTCTGGAGGATGTTGCCTTGCTTTTGCTTGAAAACAGAATGCCGATGAAAAGTCGAGTAAAATGTTGTTACAGATGTTCGACTCTGTATTAAGGCTGTTGGAATTACCACCACATCTTAAATCAATTCCCAGAACATTGTCTGGAGGTTATGTCATTGAAATAATGAATCCTCTTTAGTGAAGTATAAGCAAACATGTTAAAACATCATTGTAACTTTAAATTAAACTCTAGCGCAAACCAAGGGATCTGAAGCCTCATTAGACTTGCCTGACATTTTTCTAGCACTGAGTCTTCCCCAACTGTAAAACTGTTAGATTCAGAGCCTATTAGACAAGTGAGCGCTGGGAAGTTACAACAGCACATTAAGTGTTATACTTAGGGATGTGCAAAAACAAGCCCTTGAATTTTATGAGCACTTGGAGACTGGATGGAGTTCAGCTCCTATAAAAATTCCACATTGGATTCCTGAACTTGTTTGTGTTTTAAAGAAGCCGGTAAGTCAGGTTCTTTTCAAAGATCGTATCTTCGTGCGCTTGCTTCCACAGCCTGATGCGAGTGAAAATGCCAGAGACAGGGGTGTATGGTAATTAGCCAAAAAGCAGGCTAAGTAGGAGCCCATAAATGTGCATTGGCATGAGGTAGTGACCAATTACTTCGATACATTTGTCTTTCATGAAAGTAAGTAAATTTCAGGCCCTCTTTTAATTTAGTTTTTATTCCTTTCATGTAGTCACAGAAGCCACGAAATGAAAATTATATTTTATAGCTTAACTAAGAGTTTTTCTAGATCTGCTTTCTTAAAATAGGCAGAAATTGATAGAATCCATATAAAGGATAATAATTAAATATGGTTTATAACCTACTTATGAGAAAGAAGTTATCACTGCTTCTCTTGTGGGATCTAAGCCATATGTAATGGTCTCCATTACACAACATTCATATATTTAAGCTGAAGACACCCCCCCCCCCGCCATTTCTTCAGGGAACAGATCTGCATTTCTAGGCCTGTGAGTGCAGAAGGAAACCTTTGAACATGAGTTTCATTTAAGAGAACAAATCCCGGTTTAAATGCAGTATGATTATGATGGACGATCTTTCTGAATTGCAATGAAAATAAATAGATTCCTTGCATAGAAGGAGGCATAACTTTAGCACTAGAACAAAGTGTCTCTCTGGAGCTGGGTAACAGGTATTAACTTACAAGTCTTCTATGTGAATATCACCGCAGGTAAACAAACAGGGACAAGGTGCGAGGATCATGGGCACTTAACCAAAGAGGCTTATTTATTATAGGTCCAGTGCAAATGGGGGACAATAGTTAAGCAAAAGAATCCAACAGAACTGCCAATGAATGGGACTTCTGTTCAGGACCTTACTGAAATGGACCCACTGAATAAGTTAGACAAAACCATGGCAACATCTGGTGGCCTTGAATAAACAGTAACATAGGTTGGGTGAAAGACCTTTCTGGGTGTGTCACGCTAACCATAAGAAGACCTGTATGATAGAGAAGAAGGCCTGTATGATAGAAAGAGGACTTTCACCCCAGCTAGACCCACTCACATGCACACACATTATCTAGTCTGTCATGTGACTCAACTAGTCTAGGTCACCCTGAACACAATACAGCAATTGCAAGGGGTCCATATTAAAAGCTGAACTTGTATTATGGGTGCAATCGATGTAAGGCTTTCTACCCCATCCTTACGTGGGGAAAATGCAAAAGTATACTTATACACACACCTCTCTCCCTATCTCCCTTTCTCTCCTCTTTCTCGGTCTTTCTCTCCCTTTCTCTGTCACTCACTGCCTTTCTACCCCCTTATTAACTTGGGATGGCTGGCCCTCTATCCTGGGAAAGGAAGATGAATTCAGGTCAAGCTCAGAGTGCCTGTTTGCTTGCCGAGAGATGTGTGTCAACTCTAAGTGATTTTTTTCAATACCATTTATGTGGCTTGTATTTATTTCCTTTAATCTTTTAAGTGCTGTTTAGTCTCTGTGTGATTTGCTGTGGATACTCATTTCTGATAAGATGCGATATCCTCCCAGCCACACAGTTCCTGCCTGGAGCCCTAAGTGACTGATAGGGTCGCAGCCCGAGCCTGGGCCTCAGCGGGGACGGGACGGGGCGGGGGAACAGCTGGTAGAGTGAGTGGGCTGTGGGCATTTGTAGGTGCTTTCTTGCCTTCATTGCTTCTGGAATCGCTCTCACCTCAAACTGCTTTCTTGTTCCCTTTCCATGTGTCAGCCAGAATATAGTCAACCCCAGACTAAGAATGGAATAGGGGAATGTACCAAGTGGCGTACTTTGAAGCAGCTTTGGGATATAGTTAGATTATTAGAATCCCTTGGAACCATGTATTGTAATATACTAAATTTACTTAGGGTTTTCAGGGAAGTACCATATAATGCATGCCCCGATATGGGTCTTCCCGGGCAATGTCATGTAGCAGAGATGGCATTCCACCCCACCACCCCCCGCGCCCCACCTAAGACTTACACCATTAACATATGTCAAACTTCTTTTGATGTCACCTCTGCTAATACTTCTCTTCTTAGCTTTAAGGTTACTGCCGGCTTTCCGGGTTTCAAGGGTGCTTCCTCCCAGTCTGTGTTGCAGTCAACTCTAAGAATCCAAGGACCCTCTATTTTTCCTTCTTGACATTACAGCTTTAGCCTGAATTTGTGAGGGTGGGGGTGGGGAGAGGGGGGCTAGAATTTTGCCGCTGATGCCCTTGGGTGACAGGCTGGGTGCGCATCTGCTAATTATCAGCCGCTCTCTTAAAAAGAAGCATGATGCGAGCTAATACATCTATAAAGCTTATTAGTGGGTGTCTTTGGGCAAAAGCAGTAGAGTGTGCTGTGTTGTTTGTGAGCCAACCTTCACATTGCTTAGCGATCTGTGTGGTTTAGACATTTGGAAAACAGCCTTTGGTTTCCAACGCCCTCTGCTGCCCTCCCTCTCTGCCCCACCCCCCAACCACATCATCAGAGATATCACTCAGTGGCAACCTCCTCCTTTTATTTGGGTGCTCTTCTCCAGCCTGGTTCTCCAGCCTCACAGCCCAGTCTTAATGAGTGGTGAAGGGATCCCATGTGCACGCTCCCACACGCTCTCCCTCTAGGGAGCTGCAGGGACAGAGCTGGGATTGGCTGGGGATCCTTGAGCCAGCAGGCACCAATGTTCCCAGTCTTCCCCGATTGAAACATTGGCTGTCAAGGCCTCAGATCCTTGCCCCTCTCCAAGGCTCTTCCTCTGGCGTGCACGGATTAGGCACCTGCTAAGTTGGTTCATTTGTACGATCAGCTGCTCTTCTGCTGCCGCTTCCCATACAACTTTATCTCTGATTGTGGTTTTGGAAAAACCCATTCTATTCCTTAGCAAAGTAACTACAATTAACTCTAAGAATAATGATTGAGCGTTTCCATATATATATATATATATATATATATATATACATACATACATATATATGTATATTGTCTATATACAGATAAATCATGATTTCTTCTCTCTCTTACGGCAGGGCGCTTACAAACTGGTGTAGTCTGTTTCAAGTGCATGTTCAAAAGCTGGAGTGCTAAGAGGTGATCATTTCACCTTTTCTAAGCCGGCCTCTTTGACTAACACATTTGGTCTTTGTCACTGGGTCCTAAAAGCCAGCCATGAGTTCCTAGTGAGTGACTGAGCCGTGAGTGTGTGTCCTTTGATATCTTGCCTGTATCTCTCAGTCTACCCTCAAACTGTTCATAATCTCATGAGCTGCCTGTCTTTCCAGTTGAAGATGAGCAGCCATCAACACTGTCCCCCAAAAAAAAGCAGCGGAACGGAGGCATGCGGAACTCACCGAGCTCCTCGCCCAAGCTGATGAGGTAAGAGGAGGGGCCACACGGGGCACCCTTCCGGCTCCTCGCCGCCCCTCTGGGCCCCCTCCCCACCCCACCCAGGCCCAGAGCCTCCCCTCCCCCAGCACGGCAAGCACGAGACGGGGGAGGGGACCCATCGTTAGGTGGCTTCTTAAAGGCTGGAGTATTTATTCTGTCAGCTTGTCAGCAGTTAATGATAGAGCTGAAAAAATTCTGTCATGAAAAACAGTTTGAAAAGCTGTTTGAAAAATACATAGGCTTTAAAGTCTTAGCTGTCACCATGTCCTGTCTATGTGTAGTTCCTAAACAGCAGTGGCACTAATGACGCCGGCAACCAATCAGAGGGATGCGTGTGGTTAGTTTGCCTCCGGCGAGTCTCTTTCTGCTGGAGTCCCTTCGAGGACTGTTTTCTGTACTTAAGGCCATATGTGAGATGTATCATCACAATCAAAAATGAACCTGAAGATTACCTTCCTTTTATCCTGTCGATTGAAATAAAATTTCTGTTAATTGATTTTGACTCATAAAAAGGTCTAATAATCTGTGGACTTGCCCAAGCAAAGTTCAAAAGTAATCCAGTTCTGCTCAGGCTAAAAGCAATATTAATTATGAAATAGAGCGTGTGTGTAGTCTTTCTCTCTCCCTCTCTCCCCTACCTCCCTTCCTTCCTTTCCTCCCTCCTCCCTCCATCCCTTCCTTTTTCCCTCTCTTTTCTCCCTCCCTCCCTCCCTTCCTTCCTTCGTTCTTTCTTTCTTTCTTTCTTTCTTTCCTTCTTTCTTGATGGTGGCTTCCTCTTGGAAATAGCAAATGAAACCAAGTTTCAACAGAGTTCTGCAGGTTTCTCTTCTGGGCCTCTTTATCTTTCATATCCCCTGGTTGTTTTTGATTCACCTGCCAATCCCAGTGCTTATTTCCTCTAACATCCTAACTCTCTAGCACCTCCGTGATGAAACGGGAGTGATCCCTAAATCATTACTGCCATGGAAGCACCTGCCATCTTGATGCTTGATGCTTCTTTCTTCTTCTCGTCTCTTCTCTCTCTCTTTCTCTCTCTCTTTTGACATTGGCTGCTCCCCTCCCTTTGATTACCGGCATTAAATTATGTCCATTCTCCCCCCCCCCCCCCCCGCTCCCCCCACCCCTGCCGCTCTTCCCTGTTTCCCCACATTTGCATCTCTATGGCCACCCTTCTAGGTCGCAGATGGGGCCGTCCTTCTCCCTGCTGTCGAGGACACAGGCTCCAGGAGGACCCCCCCCCCCCCCCGCCCCCTGTCCTTTTCCGTTAGGATCATCTCTTCCTGTGAGATGTTTCCTGAACAGCCCTCTGCCTGCCCCTTTGCTCAGTCTTGCTGGGGTGTTGCTGATTTACATGCTTGTTTACAGTTTATGAGGAGGAATAAAATGCACCAACTGCCAAGCTTCTCATTTTTATGATGCCAGTTGTCATGCTAACATTCATTTCCTATTTCCTCACCTTTAGGTAATCGCCTTATCTAATGCTAATAGTTTTACCCATTTAAAGTAGAGGAAAGCCCAGGCGCTTTCTTTTGCCTAAATTTAGAGAGAAGCAAATAAATAAATAAAGAGAAGTCTGAAAAATCTAAAACCTTTGGAGCCAAATTCCCTGTCCCTGTTTGCTATGTAAAGTATGGCTCATTTCTTTGATCTTGAGTAATAATAATTCTGAGGCGTTATACTGTTTTCATATGCTTCAAAGCTGTGTCAAAGTTTTGCTGCTTAAGGGTACTTCTTTATTCTGTTGGCTCTTGGGTACCAAGATGACAGGTCTTCTGTACGAGGTGGAAGCTTTTTTAAGTCGTAGCCTTCAGCAAAACATCAAATTACCAAATCCAGGGTAACATACTTCTACACAAATGCCTTTCCTGTAGATATATTATACCATATATATTAAATACTTTAGTGTTACGCGCTACATTTTATGTGCAATAGAAAGTGATGGTTTGAGGTAGCCTTGGGGGGACTTTTTTTCCACAAGCAGAAAAAGCTAGTGTATACCGTATCAAGCATGGTTTTTACAGGACTTTCTGCCCGAAGGCCTTTGTAAATAAGTAATGATCAACAGATTGGCTGTGGGTTTTTGAAAAGCATGCCTATGTCAGTTTGCATGATGGGGGAGAATTTTCAAAGTGGGTCTTGCTTTCATTGCCTGTTGGAGAGGGGCTGAGGGAGCAGTCATCCCGGGCTGGGGCTGTCTGCTCCGCGGTGCATCAGAATTGCTAAACGTGGGTCAGGTGGTGAGCTGAAGCTCGCCAAGCTACAGAACTTGGGTTTCTGGTGTCGGTGCCTTTGGGCTACTCTCTGGCCACTGTGACTGCTTTTCCCCACCTGCTCGCAGCGGTCTCGACAGCAGCTCAGCTGGCACGGGCGGTCCCATGACAAGTCAGAGGGTCTTCGACGGTCCTCCTTCACCGTGACTTTGTGTCCCAGGTGCGCTGCATGGTCTTCTGTCGTGGAGGCAAAGGCCGGGTGCTGAGCCCTCCTTTTTCCTTTACTTCCAGCATGTGAATGAAGAAGCTGTGGGCAGTTTTGCTCGGTTTGAATGTCCGGCACGGACACGCGGGCAGCCAGGACCTAATTTCGTTATGTTTCTCTTGTTGATTGAGAAGGAAGAGAGGGGCTCGTGCCGCTTCTTGTGGTTTCTCCAGGTCACCCCACCTCTTCCCAGATTCCCTTTCCACTCTACAGAAGATAGGACTCTTAGGTCCTATTCCTTCTGACCTGAAAAATCCATACAGGAAGATAATGACTTATCTGAAGTGGGTCTTTCGACATGAGTTTGTGGCTTGGCTTGTTGGAGCAGAATCGATCATTCTGAATGTGGGAAGGTTTTAGTGGCCTATGGGCAGTGATAGGAACGGCTCCAAGAGAAACCTGAGAGTCCAGAACAGGCAAGGATGGGCCTGAATTTACCGCTGTGGCTTCTGCAAATAAAACAGGCTCCTGTGTGAGGGTTCCCTGCAAACCATCGGCCCAAGTGAAGAGCTGCTGGGACCCTGCGCTCGTGGTCTTTGTCTCCCCTTTGTTCTGGGATCAGACTCACCCTGGTTTTTCAGTGCCACTTAGCTCCCCGTGCAGCCATTAGGCGAACAGCCTTGTTTTGTGTGTCTGGATCCTGATGCACTAGGGTTTTTAGTCGCCCTGACAGAAAACAATTCTTGCAGCCCAACTGAGCCAAATGGCAACATTTGTGCTCCAAGACATTGCGCCCCATGTCTTGATGGATGACCTTTGGCTTACAAACCCCCCCAAGAGGAGCAGACCATGGAGTTTCCCAGGTTCTTGTTATTTGCCTTCCTTGTTGATCTCTTAGCATGCAATGATTTAAGGAACCTCTCCTTGTTTCCCTTTCAAGTCACCAGGCCCTCATTGCCCACTTGTCCCTGCTAGTGAGTCTTGTGCCTTGGGAGGAAGGCTGCACTTTCCTTCCATTGTAAGACCGTAGAGGGCAAGAACATTGTCTCTGGATAGCCTAGTTGAGTGCTCTTAATTTCAGGGATCTCGGAGACCCCGCTGGACATCAAATGAAAGCTGTCTACAAAGTCTCTCTGGGGGGCAGGGAATGCACACTGGGTACCATTTTGACTACAACCAAAGCAGATTTGTGGCTTCCTTCATTCCCCACCCAGCTTACAACTGTGTTCTGTTCTTTCCACGACCACCTTCAAGGAGCTGTGTTCACAGACACTGGTGGATACTAAGAGTATTTCTCCAGCAGGTAGACAGTATCAAGTAAATGCCTGGACTCCCATACTATATCCTCAACTGGATCCAGAAATGTTGTTCGTTTCAGCTGTCTGTTTTTTTTTTTTTTTTTTTTTAAGATTTTATTTGACAGACAGATCACAAGTAGGCAGAGAGGCAGGCAGAGAGAGAGGAGGAAGCAGGCTCCCTGCTGAGCAGAGAGCCCGACGTGGGGCTCGATCCCAGGACCCCGGGATCATGACCCGAGCCGAAAGCAGAGGCTTTAACCCACTGAGCCACCCAGGCGCCCCTCAGCTGTCTGTTTTGATTCCTTTTCTTAGATTAATTCTCTTCTCATCTAGCAAATGCTTTTTGATAGCCTGCTGTATTTGGGATTGTAGGAAGTCTTTGAGGAGCATGAAGAGGATGCGTTAGAGTAGGTCTCTGCTCTTCAAAACAATCCCTGTAATGTAGGAGATGGGCAAGCGTGTATGGCAAAATAGAGTAGAAACAGCTTGGAGATGTACTGGCATGGGCTGTGAGAACAGAGAGAGCTGCCCTTACTTCCGGTCTGGGAGGCAGAGCCTGGTTTGTGAAGGAGCTTTCATTTAAACCTAGCCCTCGATGATGAGGGGGAGTTCTCTCATAATATCAATGCTTACCCTTGGTCATGGCTTACTGGGTACCAGGCATCATTCCAAGAACATTGTGCCTGTGAACTCACTGAATCTTAACTATGGCTCCATAAGATGGGGGAATTATACTTTCCCCCATTTTACAAATGAAGACGCTGAGTGGCAGAGACGTAAAGTCTGGTGGATCTAGTGAGTCTTACCCAATGAGGAAGATTTGGACCCAGATAGCTTAGCTTCCAAGCCCATATTATGAACTCTTTCACTGTTCCATCCAATGGAGGAAATAAGGAGAGTGCTCAGGCCGTAGTAAGTGGCTTGATGTGGCTGGAGCAGGAGGTTCTTGGAGGGGCATAACTGGACTTGGAATGCTGTAAGTATTCTTGTACCCACTCATGAAGGCCTTTGCCTATCATTGGTACTGGGAAACCCTTGCAAGTCTTGAGGAGACAGAGTTTTGGGAAGCTCACTGGTGGCAGTATAAGGAAAGGTGTAGAACCAAGCCTCCATCAGGGGCCTTCTGGACACATGTTACATAAATAGGTGTGAGAAGAAGGCCCAGCCAGCCCCAGCCTCTGCCAAGGTCCTTCGGATGCCAGACCACTTAGGATCTGAGCCAAAAGTGGGCCACAGTCTTCCCAAGAAGGACACACAGCATTCCTGTCATCAGTC